CTCCCTCTCCCTCTGCCTCTCTCCCTGCTCGCTTGCTCTCTCTCTCTCTCAAATAAATCTTTAAAAAATAAAATAAAATTCCTATTTTCTTCAATTCTGAGTTAACATTCCTTTAGCCAATGATGGAACCATAGAAGCCCATTAGTAAATTCAAAAGAAAAAATAAGGTACACAATAAAAAAGGATTAAACCTGAAGGATTAAATTGTGTTTGCAGCCACTGCTGCACCACCTCTTGCTCACCCAGCTCTAGCTGAAGGAGAAGGGGAGTAAGTAAGGAGGTGTCTTTTCCATGGCCCCTACAAAGTGGACTGCAAATCTACTGGTGATAAAGCACTGAGGAAGCAACTGGATACAAAAGCCGCTAGCAAGAGTGCACCCTCTACTTGAAGGGTGAAAAAATCTAATCGTCACAGGCCTGGTATTGTGGCACTGTGTGAAATTAGACGTTATCAGAAGACCGCTGAACTTCTGATTCGTAAACTTCCTTTCCAGCAGCTGGTGCAAGAAATTACCCAGGACTTCAAAACAGATTTGTGCTTCCAGAGTGCAGATACTGGTGCTTTGCAGGAGGCAAGTGAGGCCTATCTGATAGGCCTTTTTGAAGAAACCAACATGTGTGCTATCCATGCCAAATGTATAACAATTATGCCAAAAGACATCCAGCTAGCACACCGCACATGAGGAGAATGTGCTTAAGAACACACTATGATGGAAAACATTTCATTCTTTAAAAAAAATTTTTTTTTCTCTTCTTCCTGTTATTGGTAGTTCTGAATGTTAGATATGTTTTTTTCCATGGGGTCAACAGATATCTAAGTATATGGTTGAAAGTGGAAAAACAGAGGACACAAATCAGGTATTGGCAGTTTTTCCATTTTCATTTGTGTGTGAATTTTTAATATAAATGCAGGGACATAAAGCATTAATACAAGTCAAAATATTTCAGTGAACAAGTTTCAGCAGTTCAACTTTATAACAATTATAAATAAAACTGCTAAATTTTTCTGCACAATGCCAGCATTTGGATTTTTTAAAAACAAGTAAATTTCTTATTGATGGCAACTAAATGATGTTTGTAGCATTTTTATCATACAGTGTATTCCATCCATTAACTATACTTTTCTGAGTTGTCCTACATGTAAGTACATGTTTTTACTATTGTCTCTCTTCTGTGCTGTTCCTGTAAGTTTGCTATTAAAATACATTAAACTATAAAAAAATTTTTAATAAAAAAATGGAAGGATTTTTTCTTCCTTTATATAAGCATTATTAAAACTTGGAATTTTAAAAACTACATATATTCAAATTGTCTGCATTACAATAAATAAGGTGTCCAGACATAATTCAGAGTGTTAAAATTATTTCTACTCTCTGGAAACCAAGAGCTTCCTTGTTAAAGTGTAAAATGAGATTTCGCCTACTTGCAACTCCTTGTTCTCACAGCTGAACTGTCACAGCATGAAAACATTCCCCTACTGGTGCAGCTTTAGATACCTATTTCCCTGGTGAAAGAGCGCAAAAGGAACTGAAAGAGTTATTGACAATTCATACAGTATCCCATACCCCATTAGAGTACAGCTACAAGCAAAGAAAATATTTTAACTCTGAAGGGAGACGGGACAACAATGTTTTAAATGATTGTTGACTTCACTGAGTAGCACTGAAAATGTCAAAAGAGTGTAGTCTATCAGGTTGGTAAGAGACTCAAGATTATACAAGAATCTAATTATAAGAAGTCTATTTCTTTGTCCCGTTTGCTAAGTCAAAGGTTAATGAGAAGTACGCTAAAGAAAACACCTCCTGTGTTATTGCAAAAAATTTCTTATGCAACATAAAAATGTAAATGAAAAACGTATTTTAATCTAGTTCTCTCCATTAACATTTTAAAAAATAGCTTTTGAGGTATAATTTACATGCCATAAAATTTACTCATTTTTAAGTGCTCAATACAGTGATTTTTAGTAAATTTACAGAGTTGTGCACTCTCACCACGATCTAATTTTAGAATACTTGCATCGTCTCAAATCCATTAACTTCTTGATCTAAGATGTTTCCATAAATTCACAGAAGCCACTGGTAAGTTACTATATATTCAAAGCCACACAAATATCCGCAATTGAGCAGGAAAAGTGCAAACTAACCTCACTTTTAATGACCTTTATAATCAATCCTCTACTCTGGCACTGGGAAGAAAATGTTCAGGTGCTTTCTCTGAAAGTTAAACCATTCTAAGTATTAAGTTATGGCACACTGTCTTGGAAAGAAATTAATTATATTTTTGTTGGTAACACATTTCAGGCTGTTTACACAGCTGACATTTCTCAGCTGTACCCAATTCATGCCCTAAGCTGTGAGGACGATCTTGTTTTGTAGCAGATGCCTCCACTTAGTGATTTAAACAAGTAAAAAAACACCATCGCCTGCAACAATATAGATTACAAGCACCAGCTTTATGAGTTTTTATAATCCTAATGAAAGAAAGGTTTCATGACATTTCTTTGGCTGGGATCTCCTTAGAAGACTACAGTTATAAGCCATTTTTGCCAAAACCTAAGTACTGGAGCTAGTGGATCTGCTATGGCACCAGTTAAAAGCAACGGGCCCTAAACATCTTTGTTGTATCAAATCATGCAGCTCAAGGCAACATCCTGCCAATGTGGCAACATTTGCTCTGGGGAGGTGTGGGCAGGCATCACTTCACAGGTTCTGGGACAAGGTGCAAATATGAATAATGAGGCAAAAAGAATCAAGTCTCTTAATAGAGATTCCCTCTTGTGTTAGCTGTGACTTAGATACAACACCAGGTAGTATTACAGTTTTGAATATGGTGAGTTTAAGTTGCTTTCCATATTCTCCTACAGGGAATGAAATTGCATTAGAACTCTTTGGTAAAAAGTTAAATGTTATAACAATCACTAAAACATGGGCCTCATAAAAGACTCTGTCGACTCAGTTTAATTTTTTAACACCTAAAATGTATAGGGCATGAGCCTACAGAAGAATTTATCACTGAATTCTTCACTAAATTTGCCTATCACTCTTGGAACTTGAATCTGTAACCAAAATGTAATAGGTGTCTTCAAGTATGGGGTCTCAGAGCAGTTGGCTTTTCAAACCCTGTGAAGTCCCACATTTCTGGACTATATCACCTATGTTCTTAAAATTATTTTTGCTTTAAACTTTGTATTATAGAAAATTTCAAATATATACAAAATTTGAGAAAACAGTGTAATAAACTGAATATACACATCATCCAGCTTCAACAATGATCAATATGTGGCTCACTTGGATTTACCTGTATCTCTACTCACACTCCCAACCCCACAAGTTATTTTGAAGCAAATCTCAAACACCATTTCATTTATATAACCCAGTCAATTCTTGCATGTGATACTTTTCTGAGTTAATGTTATATGTTAATATTAATTATAATAGTGACTCATTTATTGAGTGTCTACTGTGAGCTGGGTACAATACATATATTATCACTAATCCTCCTCATAACAATACCGCAAATTAGTGAGGTAACTGAAGCTCAGAGAATTTAAGTGACATGGTCAGATCTTAATTATTTTCTTCTATTAATGTTATTATTTCTTGTAACAGATTATTAGACAATGTTAAGAACATTTCTGTTTTCTCCATGTCTCTCCAGGTAAACAGAAAGCTATCATTTATGAACATTACTCTTATTTTTGTAAAAATAAATGTAGCACATTTTCTGTCAAACGCGTCAAATTTTATCCAATAGGGAAAAAAAAATCCAAAGTAAAAACAACAACCACATCCCTACCTGTTAGCCATGGATAACCAGTCAATAATTCTAATGATTTACTATATCAACATTAAGATCAGTTGCTTAGAAATAAATGACTATATGTAAACAAGTTTTTCCACTTAAAAAAAAAAAGTTCCTCTATTTTCTGCTTATTCTTAAAGTTCTAAAACCTACAAAGCATTTTCCAAAAGCATGGTGTTTAAATTGTGAAATAATTTAGACTCAGCATCTACATAAATTGTTTAAAAATGTTTCTATCTTCCACAAAATGTATGATGGTGGTATTGAGAGAGAAGGAATAATTATTATCCATATAGAAACACAGTATTTACCAGAAAATAAAAAAAGGTAATTTGCTTCCTAGCTATAATCATTTGGGTATTTATTATTAAAAGATGTTTACAAAGTCTCAATTTCTTTTTAGCCCTATTCATTACAAACATTGGACTTAACTTCAAAATTCTTGAAACATTCTCATTTTTTACCTTTTCTTCTTTTTCTTTCTTTCTTTCTTTTTTTTTTTTGAAAGGGTATCTGGTTAGAACAAGATTATGGGTAAAAGTGGCCAAAATGTAATTTCAGCTGGCCCCCTTAGATGATAAAATTTACTTTCTGAGAAAAGAATAATCACTGCAAACAGGGCAGAGACAGGAAAGGTTTCAAAATTTACAATAGGATAATTATTGTAAATAGATATAATAACAGGTAAAAATGACAGACTAAATCTTTTCCTCTAGCTTTTTATGGCAGTGAAAATTATGGGTATTTTAAGAATAAAGGGCCATTAATATTACTGTAAAAATTAACATTTTAAAAAAGTATCAACCTACTATGGGAAATGTAGTTTTGAAATTAAACATAATGATTAGGTTGATTTTGAGACAACTGTAATTTAGGAAAAAAATTGTGCTTGGGATATTTCATTAGGAACGTCTAAATATATTCTTTTCATTAAGGAAAAAATTATATCAAGCAGCATCAAATTCCTGATATTGATACTATAACATTACCAAAAGAATGTTGATATACTTGGTTTATGATATCTGTTCTGCAAGTGAACTCAAATTATCACAACTCCTTATTTTCACATTATTTGATTTATAAGGTTCTTTCAATGGAACATTCAAAGCATTTGATTCTGCTTATTATCACAACCAATTAGACTGAAAGTGGCAAAAGAGAGAAGAGAATAAAAAACTGATAACTCAACTGTCACTTACCGAGTCATCTGTGGCAGAAGTTGGCCAGCCCTCCCATAATTGATGGCGAACAGGGATACTAGTAAGGTCATACACATTTCTCTTTACCTATACAAAGAAAAAGACAGCACAATTAAAATAAGGTTTCCACATGACTTATGATCATTGCCACTTATGTGATATTCATTGTATTTCCTTTTCTGGATTTGAAACAAAAATTTGAAACTAGGAAAACAGAAGTCAGAAAAATTTTGTAAAAAATTCTAAATCAAATTTAAAAGCAGATTCTCAATGAAGACTAGGGGAAATAAAGGTTCAATAAACATCTCCCTCTGCCGATTGTTTTTATATTCCCGGATGACTTCAAGTTTCTTTTCAGTCAGGAAACTTCAGGTACACAGTTCATCTATGATGGACTATAATTATAAATGTTATTAATGTATTAAATCTTTAAATGACTCATGATGTGCAATAAACAAAAGATATACTTCAAGTTTCTATGTAGTTTTTGGTTGTTGTGTTTTATTTTTTGGACAGGGCAGGAGGAAAAGCCTGAAGGTATCTTTATTGTTTGGTGGAAGTTTCAAAGATATAAAAACTTAATAAAGCAGCACAGATTATTTCTTTGATATCACCCCAAATTAAAAACTATTTCAACAGAATATTTATTAACTGAAAGTCATCTGTTAACATATTATTTAGGCTTCTCCTGAAAATAGGGTAATGATACTTTTAAATACTGTTAAAGATGAAAAACTACTTTTCTCAACATGCAACATTGTACCTTTCATTTTAAAAGGACAGGAGGTAAGTAATTTCTCCAAATAAAGTGTTGGAAGGTTAAATTCTATGTTACCCAGTAATTAAGAGGTGTGGTTTCTGTCTTTAGCTTTACTTCTAAATAGGACACAGAAATTCTATTTCATTCTGAATGTACAAATTTAAAAAAATAACAAGTCCTAAGAATGGAGAGATCACCCATCTTAACTAACTCTTCAAGTTAGTTACAGGAATACCTGACTGTAACAAGTAAAGCTAGTACTGAAATGTTGCACATAATCTGTTCTATAACGCCACTTCGATATGGAAAACAAGCAGTATTCATTCATGTTTTAAAAAAAATGCAGAAGCCTAAAGTATCACATTATCCAATTACAGCATCTTGTATCACATTACTGTTTATTATACATAAACACATCTAAGTTATCCTTCCAGTGAAATAGAGATATATACTCACTGGGGAAAAGAAAAACAAAACAAAACTCAGAACTCAATCTATTTTTATCTCTAATGTACACCTGTGAAAAAAGACTAAGTGAGAACTGAGGAGCTTGGGGGCATGGCTTGATCCCCACTCAATTCAAACAAACAGCTTTTCTTCAGAGGTTCTTAGCAATGGTCAGTCTACCATGCAGTATTTTGTTTATGGCCAGCTGCATGAAGTTTGGAAATTTTCATTAGTTATTATCAACACAACAATTTAACCAAATGCAACTGGGCAAACTTCTGACCACTTCCACTAGCCAAGACTATTCTGTCATGCTTAAACATTAGTGCTCTTAAGGAACAGGGTGTTTCATAAACCCAAAGCATTATATTAATAAAAGAAAGGGAAAGGACAGAAAAGGCATTATGAGGAGACTTTAGGCCTCAACACAAAAAATTCCTTTCTTAAAGTTATTTTTGAATTATGTTGTCTAGATACACCAAGTTTCCTCAGCTATTGGGGGGGGGGGGGGAGAGAAAGACAAGACAAATATTTACATCTGTTGGAAAGGTAGCAAGCCTACCCCAGCATTGAAGAGTATACACAAATACTATGGGTTGAGTATATAAACAAATAACTCTGGAGTGGGATTCTTTAAATTCCACCTTAATTCCAAAACACAACAATATGGTATTATGAAATAAACAGTATTTTTCTTCTTCCATTAACTCATCTGTAACTGCACTGAATTGAATAACATTCCTTTGCTATTCTAAGCCTGAAAAGCATGTTCTGGCTATAGTGTTATGTTGGTATAAAGCACAACGCCAGACTGATGTGCTGAACAAAAGTGATCAAAGTTAGAGTAATGTTAGCCATTGCACAAGTATTTGGCTTCATTGTTCTTCCCAGAATGACATCTGTTAAGCAACTTGTCATAGAATAAACTGGTTAATGCGGACAGAACTTGGCTGAGACAGTACAACGTAAAGCATATTAGGGAAAGCATATTAGGCTAATGTTTGATTGTTCCAATGAAAAACTAAATTGACAGAGTTTCTGAGATTAAGCAAAAAGAATCATGTGTTAAACCGCAATCACTAAACAACAATTTAAGTGAAAACAAACCAGTCTTTCAAAAATAATTTCCTATTTTATCAGTGTTGTAACCCTAGGCAGATTTTACCATTATATGAAAGAAAGATAAGTGATAACGAGAGCAAAACCACAAAATGAGTGATGGTTTTACTAATGGAGATATTCAAATTCCATTATCTTCATTGACGGTTTTACTTAATTAAAAATTTACGTCACAATTTTGCAGAGAAGGAAAAAATCCCAAATGTACACAAAAGTAAAAAATGATTCTTTTAAAAAATTAGTATTCTAGGAAACCTGAGTAACAAAATACAGCTGTGTATAAAATGATGTAGATGAATTTAAGGTCATCATGAATCATATGAAGAACAGAGTTCTCTAAGAAAGGGAAGAAGGATGGAGAAACAGAGGAAGGAGAGTGAGAGGCTGGGGGGAGAAAGGTAGGACTAAAGGGAAGAGGGAAAGGGGACAGGGAGGAAGAGAGAGAAACTGAGAGACTGATTGATTTGAGAGATTTGACAGCACTTGAGAGAGGCAGAAAGAACACACACACAGGCTGGGATGTTGTAGCTGGCATGCCCAGCTGCCATTATTGTGCTACTTCTGATGGAGTTTCATCTTTAGAGATTTGTGTTAAATTCCAGTTAAGGACAAGTGGCACTTCACAGGGTAACATTTCCTAAGGGCCTTTTTGTCTTACACATTTTCTTTGATCAGCATTGGCTCAGTAACATGCTGAACCTTCATAATCTTTTCAATTTTGGTTATGCATTAAGCTCTAAATCTATGAGATTTCAGGCTGCTAAACTATGCAAATGTTTCAATTAGTTCTGAAGAAATTTAATAAATGCTTTGATTACCAGCTGAACATTAAAGTTATGTTGCAAAGTATACTGTATATGGATCAAGTATTCTACATTGACAACAGACTTTTCAGAGTTTGTTTTCTAGATTTTCTAAAAGGATAGTTTCATTTCTTCCCCTTGCCTCAGATAATTGTTTGTGACTAAGAAAAAATTAGATTAACTTGAAATAGTACAGAATTAATACAGTACTGATTTGCTTTTCATAATAAACATCTATTTATTATACTATAATTAATATATAAAGCTAAGCAATGCTCTTAACTTCAAACTTCGTATTTCCTCATGTGCATTTTCAGTGATAAATACAGCACTGGGGAAAAGATCATTTTTATTTTGACCTGCTCAATATAAAATTATATTAAGATCTTCATCTCCCACAAAGTTTTCTTCTGAGTTCCATAAATTTTCAAATTATTTTATTTTTTAGTTAAATTTTATCAGAATTTCTTAGAAAAAAATTCTTATGAAGTTACTCTGCTAAAGGCTAAATTTTGAGGCTCAGATTAGCCTCGAATGAGTTGTTTGTAGCTATTCAAACTGAAATATAAAAAACTTAGTTAAAACTTGTCAGCCTTAATAAAATCATTCCTTGTGTGCTAAATGTTGATCAAACTACTGAAAAACATTTCAGGGAATTTTAAATGTCATTTAAAGAGAAAGCAGATTCTGATAGTAGAAAAGGCACAAGGTTTGAGGTATTATGGCATAATGAGAGGAGAGAACTAGATTTCTAGTCCTAATTTTGCCCAGCTATTATTGTGGGCAAGTTGGTGAAATCTCTCTGAGACTTAGTTTACTCAATATTAGAAGAGAATAAAACAAATCACTTCTGATTTTCAAAATTCTAAAATTTTATGACAATATTGGAGTTAATCCTAGGAAAAGGAAAAGAAGAGCATTCTATATGTAAGAGAAGGAACTAATGTGGGAAAGTTTAAAATGAACATGGAAGAAAAATAGTAAAGAGTTAATACAATCATCCAAAAGGAAAACTGCAATTAATTTCATGTAAGAATAACATATTTATAATAAGCATTTAGGTGAATTTTTTTCTTAGATGAGAAAAGTCTTAGCTTTTGTTTTTTATTACACTAAAAAGTCTACACTTTTTAAAAGGCTAAATAACTGTTTCCTCTTATGAAATCTCATTTAAAAGTAAAGCCAGTCATGTTGGTTTCCCAAATAACTATTCCATCAACCAAATGTTATCCGTGAGGCTATGGTTTTGCCAGAATACTACTAGCTAAGTGATACAGTTGTAAAGTTCCATTAATTTATGTCAACATCTTTAAAATTTTGAAATCTGGCTCAGGATTCTTCACATATCAAACATTTTAATATAGCAAAAAAAGAAACAAAATACTTAATTTCCATGGGATTAGAACAGCTATAAATTTATGAGTATTCTAGTTCCTAATTTCTCTGTATTAAGAATACTATGGCAAATTACAACCCTTACCAAAAAGCACCCTGAAACGGACATCTATCTCATTCTCTTATCAATCAGAAGAAAAAGGCCTTTGGTCCTATTAGAACCTGAACTTACCCAAATTTTAATTATATCAAACTTTGAACTCTAAGTACTTCATTCACACTATCAAATGATGCTCTGGTTAGGAGTTTGCTAAATAGTAACTGCACTGAACAAGTAAGTATTTGTGTGTGGGTGTTTAAATCAAAATAAGGCATACAGACTAGGCTTCCTTCCAGTTTCCTAGCAATCTTTGGTGCTGTGAAAGGCTTATAGTTAAGAAACCAATCATTCCTGATCCAGACTGGGTTTTGAACACATACTTTATATCTAAGGACTTTTCTTTTTCTTCTTTTTTAACACATTATATACTCACTGCAGTTGCAGATGGATTTGTTTTACTAAGATGCAAGTTAAAACCCTCCTAAAAATCCTTCCTGAACAAAAACACTTGAAACCGGATGGT